ACCCCACCCCAACCCCAACCCCAACCCCAACCCCAACCCCAACCCCAACCCCAACCCCAACCCCAACCCCAATCCCAATCCCATAATAATACACTAAAAATCAACCCCAACCCCAATCCCAATTCTAATCACAAGATAATACACTAAAATTCAACCCCAACCCCAACCCCAAATTCTTTGACTTCTATCTTCAATTTCAAAATCCATATATTTTAATTAATATTTTAAAATTTAATTATTAGTTTTTATTTTTTATTTGTATTTAATTTAATAATTTCTTAAATTTATATTAAATTTGCATTCATATAAAAAAAAATATTTAAAATAGATTTTAAAAAAATTAAATATATAATATTATTTGCTTGTTTCAATTATTATTTTTTTTCTAAAAGTAATACTGCATAGATTCTAATAATAATTAATTAACATTATTATCATTAGATTCCTCATGTACTTAAGATTTAATTTCCTCATATTTTAAAATCAAAGAATTAACATATCTTTTATCTTATGGAGGTATTTATTTAGCATAATACTCTTTCAAATCACTATCATGCCTTCCTCCTTTTCCAAAAGGATTACCTGATCCTCTAACTAATACTGCATAATGTTCTGTTAACATCTTATATTTATTATAATCACAATCGATAAGACTTTAATTGATTTAAATTGTTAAATACTTCCTTATTTTGCATGCAATTTCTTTGATTGTCAATGCATTAGCCATGACTCTTAACCTTGTACTCATATTACTGTCTATATTTTTATCTTCAGCTGCAATTAAACACGCATCTGATACTAATTATAGCAAATCACCGGTTTAATTATAAGGAATATCCTCTATTTCCACACAAATATTATTAATTAATTTTTTTGTATTTTCCTCAGAATCTATAAGAATTACATTCATGACATTTCTAATAACTTTTTTAAATCTAAAAAGAAAATAAGAAACATGTAATTTTCTTAATGTTTCTGGATCCTAATTCGTTAAGAAATTTTTCTTTTCTAACTATTCCTCATACTTTTATTCAAAATAATTCGCAAGAATGGCTATTTAATTATTCTTTAGCATATTTTTACCCCACATGCCATTATGTAATAAACACACTTCCGGATCTGAAAAAGCCACTCCATGTAAAGCATTAAATAAACTATCTCTAAAAATAGGAATTTCATGTAATTCCTTTATCTATTCACTATCAAATATTTAGCAAACATCATTTATATAGTTTTCGAATAAAAAAGGCACCATAGCTACTATTCTATTTGTATTCACTTCCCCTATTCTTCTTAATTTCCTATCTAAATCTTTGAAATCTTTAGGTGAATTTTACGTTGTTTAAACTATTTTTATATCTCCTACCCTCGTTTCTCCTCTAGCACTAGCTCTTCCCATAATTCCTTGAATATCCATAACAATTGGCCCTCTAAACAAGGTTCTTCCTGAGTAATACTTAAAATCTTAATACTAAGCATGAATTCCAAAATAATTCTTTAAGTGCTATTTATGCATATAATTAGTGAAATTTTAGATAAACTCTTTATTTTTTCCATTAGTTAAATATTCTTCCAATAAATCCTTATTGTAGTCAATTTTTGGTCTTAAAAGTGTTTTAACAATTCTTTTATAATTTACAAAATTGGGAATATTACCTCCTTAAAGGGTCTAAGCAGGCTTGATACTTTCACTATCATGATAAGCCAGTCTTTCCAAATCATTAGCCCCTAATCCATAAAGTACTTTAAATCCCAAATTATGCACTTTACATAATTTATCTAATAAAACTATATTATTAGTGCTCAAATAAGGCTCCAAATAAGATCCCATAGATTCAGAACCGTCACTTTTAGATATCGTTATTCTTATTTCTCCTAAGCTTTTTATATATTAGGATATAATGTCGTTTTGTAAAGCTTTTTCGTAAAATTAATAAAGGCCTCTGACTTCATTTATACTCTCGGGCAGTGTACTAATGAATGTTTTGGAGTTTTTTATGTCTTCAAGTCCGTTTGGGCTAAAAACAGTTTAATAAAAGTCAATTTTTTCATTATGGAATGCTGTTTTTATAAAGGGAAAATATTAATGGAAATTCGAAAATTATTCAGCTAACTTATCAATAGCAATTGTTTCTTTATATGTATTTATTTTATTATCAAAGCAGGATATTATGTGTTCATGTTAAAAATGAAATCTTTTAGAAGCTATTTAGCAACATAATTACCTTACAGTATCTTCTAATAATTGATCTTAAAAGTTTTGAATTTAAGATAGTTTTTATAATACTTTTTGAGGATTTTTTATAAACTCATCTAAAACTTGGTCATATTCTTAATCATTTAGTTTTTTTTTTTAAGCATATATTTCAATCAGATTTTAAATTGCTTAATGCACATTAATTGGCTCTTCTCTAGATGTAAATCCTATTTTAAATATTTTCAAATTTGCACCTTCTATAAAATATATTATATTCATTAATTCTCTTGAAAGATCTCTATCCCCACTTGTTCCTATTTCTTAGAGTCTTTAAATTATATTAGCTTCAATTTTTAAGGATTCTTGATAAGAAAAAATATGTGGATTATCAGTTAAATTTTAGTTATAATAACTTTAAATTAAATTCATCGCTTCATCTACTTGTAATGGATTTTTTTTATGATAAAGTAAACTTTATTTAATACTGTCTAATTTTGTCAAAAGTTTATTAAAAAAAGCTTTTTGAGACTCTAATTCGAATTTACAATAATGAAAAGCATCGATTTCTTTTTTTCCATCACGATCTCCTGCCCATGTAGTATCATCCAAAAAGCTTGGTTTTAATAAAGGATAGGTATTAATTTTATTATTGATTCTATTTCTTATATATGCTTTTTTTTTCCTCAATTATTTCCCCCAGAATATCAAAAGATCTATTTCTTCGTCTTTTTTCATCTTTTTTGGATGTCCTAAAGGAGTATGAATAAATTTACTTATAATATGATCTACTAATTTTTCAAAGCTTTTTTAAAAATTATCAAAAGAACTCATCATTTATTCTAAAGTAGGGAATTCATCCATATTTACACCAGATTCTTTGGCTGTGAATCTTAATTCAATACAATCATATGAGTTCGCCATTCTTTTTTTGTTTAATTTTGCAGCTTTCATAAATAAAAAAGAACTTTCTTCTAAATAATATTATAGTTTTATAGATTCGATTGATCTTCCTATTTTATTTTATTTTAATTTATTTTATTTTTACCTTCTGTAGGATGCATTGTTAATCTATTATAAGAGTATCTATCCTCAAAGTATTTTTGCATATTCTTGTTTGTATCGTTCCATTTAAAAATAAACTTTTCTAAATATTAGTTAAATGTTACATCTATATCGCCGTAAATTCTTGATGACAAAGTAGATTTTAAAGCCATTTCTTTCTAAAGTATTACTTACTTAGGTATTTGTAATTAGTTTGCCCATTTATGGAAGCATTTAAAAATTATGCTTTCGATTATTTTGAAATATATTAAAGGCTGATATTTCTATTCAAGACTTTCACTTGAAAAATTTTAATTAATCTGTTGCTATGCTTGTTCATTTAAAGGAGAGTTTATTTAAGAAAATCTCATTTAAAGTTTTTAAATAAGAGGATTCCTACAAATGAAACTTCTGAATTTTAGATTTTTAGTTTATGTGGATTAAAAACGTGTGTGCATAATTTTAAATTAGGAAAATCGGTTCATTTAAAAATAAATAATTATTTTAAAAAAATAAAATAGATATATATTTTATTTTATTTTTGAATTTAATTTAATTTTTTTTTTTATAAAAATATTAATTTTTATACTAAAATAACATTTTTTATTTTTAATTGATAAATTAATTTTATAAATATATTTATATTTATTAATTAATTATTTTTCTAAATTCAGAATAAATAATGAAAATTTCTTAATTATGATTAATAAATTTATTTATTTTAATTATATAATATATATTTTCTATTTTTTAAAATCATATTCAAAATTTTATCTAAAAATTATACAAATATAAATAATCTTAAAATAGAAATATAATTAAAATTTAAATAATAATTAAATAATTTATATAATTGATTTCAAATTATAATATTTTACATAAAATTATAAATATATAAAAATAAATAAAAATATATAAAAATATATAAAAATATATATATATATATATATATATATATATATTAATATTTATATATTTATATATATAAATTAAAATATTTTTAACTTATTTATTATTAATAATTATATTATTAATTATAATTTTTTTTTTCTAATTAAATGAATATAAAAGTATCAAAAATTAAAATATATTTAAGTTTATTCTTATTTCATTTAATATTTAATAAATTTAATTGATTAACTTTTTATATTCACTAAATAGATTTTTTTTTGAAAACATCATTAATTACTTATGCTAAAATTGTAATTATTTTTATTAATTAGAAGTTGTTCGATTTCAGATTTTTAAAAATTTGTTTAATGTTTAGCCTAAATTTAGTTATTATATAAAAAATCGTTCGTAAATAAAACGTTTTTAATTTCATATGTTCTTGGATTGCATAATAAAGGGTTTTAAACATCTTAGTTTTTATTTAAATTAGAATTTTAAATAATATAAATAGGAATTTTAATTATTGGTTTATTTATAAAAAAACTAAACTTACTGAAAAAAAGTTTAATTTTAAGAAAATAATCGCAATTAATTAATTAACCTTGAGTTGAAGGGCATTTTATTTCTTCTAATTAAACATTAATTTGTCTTTAGTTCTCATTTGAACATATTGAATGTGCTAGACATCCTTCAATTTATTATTTATTAATTATTTTAGAAACAGATACTTCATAACCCTTATGTGACTATAGTTTAATTATTTTATTCAAAGTCAATTCTAAGCAATTCAAGTTTATATTGCAATTAGAATTATTAATTTCAATTTAAATATTAACTATGTCATTATAAAAATAAGAATTTTTATCTAAATGAAATTTAATTTTACATTCTCCTTATTATATACAGCAAAAAGTATTCGTTTTAATATTTTCTTGAATAAATTATTAATATTTAACTTAATTTAAATGTAATTCTTGAACAAAAAATAATTATGTATCTTTTAATTTTTTTTAATCTTTTTTATATGATATTATTTCTGCTTTTACTTTGTATTTTATTTAAGCTTAATACTTTATACTATTTTATTAGTTTTTTTCATCAAAGCTGCTAGGTAAATGATTATAAAGGTTAAATTGAAAAGGAAATATGTATTAACCAAATTATATGTGATTGAGTGACGTTTTATATATATCAAAGCAATGACAATAAAATATTTTTTTTCCTTTATATGATTGCTATGTATTGTTAATAAAATTATTGTTATCATTTGTTAATGCGTTTTATCTCTATTCATTCCAATCTACATATTCGTAACCTTTTATTTTTAAATTTATCTTTTTTGAGGGAAAGTTTTCTCGAAGGTTTAAATATATTTCTCCCTATAAAGTTTCTCCTGCTATATATAGTAATTTTTATGTTTTTATGTAAATCTATCCGATTTTATCTTTTAGCTTTTTTAATTTTTATTTATTCATCAAATTTTTTTTATGAAATATATTTCTATTATTAATATATATGTGTTCTAAGCAAGTAAAAATAAGTAATTATTTTTTTTTATTTTAATTTAATTAATTTTACTCTATAATTATATTTCGAATTTGTTTTAAAAAATGATTTTTATTATATTAAAAAATAATTGATTATAATAGAATTATCTAATTTAATCTTAATTATAATACATATAAAAATTGTATGTAACGAAAAAACTATCAAAATATAATATAATATTTTATTATATTTAAACATTATTTGAATAATAAAAAAAAACAAAAAAATATAAATGAAATAAAAAATAATATTTAATATAAAAAATATAAATTGAGAAATAAATAAAATTATATAAATATAAATATAATATAAATTATATATAAAATTTATTATAATATAAAATAATAATAAAATAAAAATAATAAATTGAGAGTAAATTAAAAAATTATAGAAAAAATTATATAAAAATTAAAAAGAATATATATATAAAAAAATAATAATAATAATAATAATAATAATAATAATAATAATAATAATAAAAAAAAAAAAAAAATTATTATTTATATTTATTAATATTAAAAATAATTATTATAATAATACTAATAATTTTTAATTTTATTATAATATCTTAAAAATATTATTAATTATTATTATAATACTTTAAATAATTAAATTTTTATTTAACAAACATTTTAATTTTTTTACTAAATTATTTCATTAAACAAAAAAATACTATTTATTAAAATATTTTAATTTTGTTATTTAATTAAATTATAAATATTTATCAACTCAAAAATTATTTCATAAAAATTATTATATTATGTATTCATTACATTCATATAAATATAAATTTTAATTATAAATATAACAATTTTTTAATATTTTTATAAATACTAAAATAAATATAAATTTTTTCAATTTCATTTTTAATTTATCATTTATTATTTAAATTTTGATAATTTTTGCGGTTATTATTCGTTTTGTTTTTAATTATGGTCAGGTTTAACCTTTTATAAAATATCCTATATTTCTTTTTTCTTTCATTTTTTTCTTTTTGATTGTCATCTTCTTCTAATTCTTTTACTCTATTCATTAATTTTTCATATTTTTATTTTATATAAATATCAGTATCTGAAATTATTTTATTTTTTTCTATTTCTTATATTTGATTTTATCTTCTGCAAAAGTCTATAAATAAAATAAAATATATGATTTTTTTTAATTTATTATTATTACAACTTTTTTTTTTTTTTCTTATTATTATATATTTTTTTCTTGATCTTATATAACTTAAATATATTATTATTCTTATTAATTATTTTCGATTACTTTGTTTTATTATTCACCTTTTTCATAAATTTATATATTTTTTTCTGAATCTTCTTCATTATTATTTTATTGTCAATATTTTATTCATCTTAAGTATAATTTTCAGACTATAATTAATCAAATATATTTCCAAATAAGTAGGTAATTTTACATCTTTAAATTTTTTTTCATCAAATTCTATAAACTTTAAAGGTTGATGCTTTTTATCAGTCGCTTTATTTTGCTGATTTTCTACTTTTAGACTCTCATTTTTATTAATTAGATTTACAGGCTCTCTTATTTCAATTGTATTATAATCTTTTTCTTCTTATTATTATGTCTTTTTTTGTATTTCTTTTAATGAATTCTCTAGTACTATTTCTTTTTTAATAAAAAAATAAATATTTCCTTTTTTACATTATATTCTTCGATCAATTATTTATTTGGCTTAAAAACTTGATGTTTGTACAAAATAATCAGCCCCTAAAGAAACTAAAATCTTAAAAAAAAAAATTAATTAAATAAAAAATTAAATTATATAATTAAGTACTTCATTTGTGTGATATATTTTTGCTGGCAAATATAAAACAGAATTAACTTTTTGCTAATTTAATAAAAAAATATATTTTTTTTGTATATTTTTAATTACTAATTCAAAATAGTTTAACTTTTTAGGTAAATCTTCTAACTTTTTTGATAATAAAAGAAGATTTTATATCTACTTTTGTTGGGATTCCAATAAATATTAGTTAGATGACATTATGTTTTTTTTCTAATTAGCAATTATTTTTAAATTTTTTTAATTAAAAATTTATCTAAAACAAAAAAGTATCATTATTAATAATCATAAAATAATACTTTGACCCTTATGTTTATTATTTTTTTGCAATTTTTTTTCAAAAACTCAATCAACACAAAATAAAAAAAAATAAGATAATGTAATACATAAAATATTAAATAATAATTTTTAATAAAAATCAAATAGTATTAGATATAAATAGTAAAATTTAAATAAAGTTTATGTAATTTTTTAATATATTTAAAAATTATAATAAAAAGCTTTTAATAATTTATTTTAGAAATAAAATATTACAAAAAACTTAAATATTAATTCATTATATATTTTTTTATTTTAATCATTAATCTTTTTTTTTATTTAATTTTTTTTTCTAAAACTATTTAATTTCTTATTCTTCTTTTTTATTATCAACTTTTGAAAATACTATAAAAAAAAAATATTAATTTCAAAAAATAAAAATATATTAATTACAGAATTTAATAAGAAAAGCTACTATTCCCAAAAGTAATAAAACGTATACAACTTTAGCTGAAGTAGTAAGTTTTATTTCATTAAGAGTAGGATCTTTTTAACCAAATTATTTTTTGAATTATTCTTCTAGTTATTCAGCTTATTATTAAAGCTTCTGTTCTATCTCTTCTTCACTTAATTCTTATTCTTTTTCTTTTGATTATTTTTAATCATTTTATTTTTCGGACATAGCATCATCAAAACTCTATTTTATTTTTTAATAAATTAAAAAATAAAGTTTTTACCTTGACAAAATGCATAATGTATTCTTATTATTTAGAGAATTATATATCATATCCTTTTTCTTCATATTTAGTTATATCTATATTTTCAAAAATAGGATCTAATTATTAAATAAGCTAATCTTTTTATTTGATTTTCATTATAGTCTATATTTTATTTAATATATATATATTTTAATAATTTATAAAAAATTAATTAACTTAAGAA